AGAGACAGAGACAGAAAGCGAGAAATCACCCCCCCCCGAGGGGGGATGGCCACACTGCAGTCCCTTCTCCTCCATTCTCCTCTCAGGATCTTGGGCATGCACACACATGCACCCGGAGTGAGTTTAAGCCACCCAGTCCGGGATGCTGACCATGGTCATCTACATGGGAGTCCAGTGATGTAGCCATTATGCCATCCGCTGGTCCTGAAGGCAAATTTTTTTAAAAAGCAGGATCATGTTATGCAAATAAAATTAGGACTAAACCTTTTTGCCCCGTGAATAATGGGCATAATGTAAGAAATTCTTAAGGAAACTGAATGTTTCTTAACTAGTCCTCTATTCTGTTCTTTCCATATGCTCCTAAAAATGTCAAAATAGACACAATCATTTTACATGTAAGAATGAATTTGGTTGGGGACCAGCGGGTGGCATGGTGGTTAAGGTGCTGGACACTCCCACATGACTGACCAGGGTTCGAGTCCTGGACCTGGTGGCTTGCTTTCTCACTTCCTCTCTCTCTCTCTCACTCTCACCCTCTGTCTCTCTCTGGTCAAATTAAAAAAAAAAAATCAATGAATGAATAAATAAATAATAAAATAAATAATTATTTTAAAAAAAGAATGAGTTTGGTAACATGGATATCTAATATCTTATTATGAAATGTGGAGAAAATGAGAAAACAGAAATCCTATCATTTTAAAATTTCAGGGCTTAATTTCATAGTGAAAACAGAAATTGTATTCATCTGTAGAATAAGTTAGGGAAGGGCTTTCAACTGTAGGAAGTTTTCAAACAAACCACATTCTTCAAAAGTACTTAAAGCAGTATATTTACATGACTTTAGTAAGGAAAAAGGAATGTAGTATCTCCTGATGATAACACTCTAAATATGCTTGTTCCAGAAGCACTGCTTAAGAAATAAACTAAACACAGAAACTACATGTACTTAAAAAAAAATTAGGCTCATGAACTATTGAGTAAAGATTGTTGATCAGTTTAAGCAAGTATGAAAATTAGCAAGTTTTAATCAAAGATCCTTCTTCTGCAGTGGCTTTGTGTGTATAAAGAAATACAGAACAAAGGTCACATAGTAGTTTCCAGGTGTTTCTTCTTTCACTATTAAATTAAGTAACAGGAATTCCTGTTTGATAACATAAGTATGTAACAGCTAATTTAACAACATATAAGTACATGAAGTTCAAAATAGAAACATGGAGGAATTCTGCTTTTTGTTCTGACTCAGAATGGAGTATTGACATTCATTGAGTTCTCTTTTCTAGCAAGTTTATTGTGATTAACTTTATTTATTTACTTATTAACTTACTTACTGCCAGAGTGTGTATGTGTGCTCACCAGGTGGGGGGAGAGAGAGAGAGAGAGCGAGAGAGAGCCAGAAAGCACTCCCCACCCCTCAATGGGAAATAGTCACATTGCAATCCCTTCTCCATTTCTCCATCCTTTTGGGATTTGGGGCACATGGACACATGTGTCCAGCATGATTTTCCAAGCTGCCAAGTCTGGGACTTGACCCATGTGGTCAGCCATGTGTGATCCAACCACCTTAACCACCAGGCTATGCACTAGTCTCATGATTAACTTTTAAATCTTCCTTTGATCACAAATGATGTTTGAGTTATACAATACTGTACTTGATCAAAGCTTTACTTGTTATAAATATTCAACTTTATAGTCTAACTGCAACATTTTAAGGAGTGGAAAAGTTTTTATCATCAGAAACTTTACTTGTTTTCCTTTTCCTTGAATTAACAGGCTATTTCCCTGGTCGATACAATATAATGAATATTAGTGATTCTTAAATAGTATTTTGAACAAATGAACAATTTGAATATATATTTCCTCAGGAAAAATTAGATTGCTAAAGTGATTATAATAAATAGACCACTTTGGGGCCTGCTGGTCGCATTGTGGTTTAGGCACTGAATTCCCACATGGCCAACCATGGTTCAAGTCTTAGACCCGGTGGCTTACTTTCTCACTTTCCCTCTCTCTCTCTCTGTGTGTGTCTCTCTGATGAGCGCATTTGCCCTATAGCAAATTAAATAATAAGGATAAATAAATAAATAAACTTAGATAAATGTTAAATAAACAGACCACTTTATCCACTCAGTGCTACATTTCCAAGGTCTATAAAATCAGACAATTTACATTGTATTTGTTAGTCCATGAAATTTAAATTTGTATCACTGTAACCTACACACTAAAAGACTTCTCACATTATCTTTTGATCTACTTTTTCACTTTCAAATATTCCACAAGCTTCTTGATAGTAATAAGTTTTTAAAATTTGGTTGATTTTCTGAGTATTTATATATAGTCTGTTAAGATGTTATGGGAGAAAATAAAATCTAGTTCTTAACCTCAAAAACAAGATGAGGAGGAACACACATAAACCACACGTATTCAAGACATAATAAAATGGTTGCTTAAAAATGTGTAAGTAGCTTACTGTGGGAACTAAGTGTAAGAAAAAATATTTCTAAAGAAAAGATGGGGTCTTCAAGAATTCTGAAGAACAAGTAGAATTTGTAGACCCAGAATCAAATGGGTAATCTACAAGATTATCTTATTGTAAGAAGTAACTACATGGGGCCAGCAGGTGGCGAATTGGTTGAAGTGCTAGACTCCCACATGACCAACCCTGGTGAGAGTCCCAGACCTGGCAGCTTGCATTCTCACTCCCCCCCACACGTGGTGAGCCCGCGTGCCCTGTAGTAAATTAAAAAATT